GTATGATATGTCATTGTTTTTGAGTTCCTTTAAATGTTTGTTTTGCCTCATATGTATACAGTAAGTAATCTTTATTTATACAGCGCATTTCTCAGACCAAGGTCAGGGCTTTAAAATTTTGGTATATCAGTTATTCTTTCAATCACTCATTACATTCATTCCCTTTGTATATGTTTGTAATAGATGGGGAAACCGGAGCGCCTGGAGGAAACCGGAACGCCTGGAGGAAACCGGAACGCCTGGAAGAAAACCGGTGCGCCCTGGAGGAAACTGACGCAGACACAGTGAGAAAAGTCAACTCCACACAGAAAGGCCTGGAGGTGGAATCAAAACCCAGGACCTTCTTGCTGTGAAACACAAGCGCTAACCACTGTGTGTCAGGAGACAGTTACATTGGTTACAAGTTGGAGAGGAAAAAACTCACTGTAAAACTGTAAAATTAACACACACTATCACAAGAATCAGGTATTGTACCACCTAAACAAGCAGAATCATAGAAAAAACCCATCAAATTATCAAAAAATCAAGATGTTTAAGAGATGTTTGGCTAATTTGCAATGCCTTTTCTTTCTTAATAAATGCAGTATTGGTGATTTACAGAAGTCTTAATCTATAAATCTGTCATGGTACATCCAGATCACAGTCTCTGCTTTTCCTGTTTTTCTTGGATGATGCTTGGCTCTTAAGTCATGTGCGTTTTTGTCAATCAAAACACCACAGTGCGACGGTCTCAGAGCCATAGGTGGCCCCAGAGATAAAGGGGCCATATTGATTACATACTGAAACACTCACTGATGATGAATGGACGATCAGTAAATCAAATTGGGAGATGAATTGGCCGGTGGCAGCGTCATTAGGACTTTGTGATGGCTGCATTAATATGCTGATTAAATGAGGGGTTGCTTCAGTGTCGGTGTGTCAGGGCTGATGAGCTGACCCCAGATCGGCTTTAGATTGAGTAAAGGGCCTTTCATCATCGCCCGCCTATGGACTGTCTCTGACCTTAGACATGGGCATTCATCATCTGACGCTTCCTTACTGCTCGCATGTACAAGAGCAAGATGGATCGGAGACCTATTGGAGTTTGAGTTTGATAAAGTGTTGATTTTCTGCCATAATGTGTTACGCCATATTGACCTGATCAATGGCAGTGATGAGTTATGTCAGTACGTTATAGTATAGGGTAGCTTTTCTTTAGTTCTCTCAGTATCCTAATTACTCCTAAGAAAAAAATCCTAAGAACTGCATTTTTTATAGTCTCTGTAGAGAAATGTGTCCTCTCCGTTTAACCCATCCTTCAACCTGGGAAACCTGTCAGGAACAGGTGCCTATCTCCAGTTGTTGATGCTTGGCTTGGTCAGGACTATACCTTCGCTGCAAGATTATACCTACATTGCATGTTTTGGGTGGTTTGACAAAGTGGTTAGCTCTTGGGCTTCACGGAAAGAAGGTCCCAGGCTTGATTCCACCTCCAAGTCTTTCCGTATGGAGTTTGCATGTTCTCCCTGTGTCTGCGTATGTCATGGTGTGGGCTTTTTGATTACTTTTACCTGGTTATATTTTGATCCATTGGTTCTTTTCATTGATACTTCATGTCATGTTCAGTTGATTACCTGTCCCGTCCTCATGAGTCCCTGTGTGTATTTAATCCCTGTGCTCCTTGTTGGTCCATTTGTGTTTTTGTCCCTGCTTGGTCTGAGTTTGGAGTTCTGTTATAAACCGTATTCTGTGACTTTTGAGTCTTGTGTACAAAATATCATTTTTGGCAGTCCTGCATTTTGGGGCCTTAGGTTTCATCCAGGTGCTCCAGTTTACCCTACCGCTAAAAAGGTGTCCCCCTACACCCACCCTGTCATTTAAGCTACAACAATCCATGGCTGAAAAATCCCCTATAATGGTAATGTAACTCTGAAAAGATTGACACTGAAAACAAGGGGCATTCTTAAACCATGGCCACCATCTGCAACTTAAACAAGAACGTAAGCAGTAGGCTGACTACCGATTCACACAAAAAAAGAGACAGAACCAGCCTCAGCACCCGGATATATATCGTGAATGGCCCAAACTGCTTTCTCCCCTCGATGCCGATGGAGCTAATAAAAGTATCCAGGGCTGGCAGGAGGATGAGAATGCTGACAGAATCACTGCGCTCGCCTGCCAAAGCCACAGACACTGGTGAGCAAGGCTTGGCTCATTTCACTCACGGTTCCACGGGCGAGCATGTACAAGCAGGGAGACAAAAACCGCAATACACCGCGTCCCCATGACCCTCCCTGCTCCATATGGTCAAGAAAGGACCGGAGAAAATAAGCACAGAGCGCGGTTGGGGTGAGCGGGTTTTTGGCAGTGCAAAAAGCCCCCAGGTTCCACTGTGTACAGGGCAACAAACCAGCGGCTGGTGCAACACGCTTTTCCAAACCAGTGCCCCCGTCGCTATTCATATACTGCAGCAAAAGGGCAACACTGTTCTCCAAGAGGAAAGCCAACAAATACAGCTTTTGAATTGGGAGAGTTGGAAATACTCATTAAAACTGGAGTGCCAAACTTTGAAACCACATGAAAAATGAACTATGTAGTAAACAATCTGTGTAACTAGCTCTCAAAACAGTTGGGTTCTGTAAATAGTTTTCAAATGCATGGATTTTGTGTACTTTTGGCCTTTGTCACATATTGAAATAATTATAATAGCACTAATAATAATAATTGGTTTAATATAAGTCTTTTTGAACACTCAAATATGCTGCTCATGTCATTTATTTATTCACTCCATACATGGTGGTAATAATCTATGACTCTAGGCACAGCTGCCCTGGGGCACACTGACAGAAGCGAGGCAACCATGTGCCATTGGCCCATCTGACCACCACCAACCATTCACGCACACACCAGAGTCCTTCGAAGCAATGTGGGTGAAGTCTCCTGCCTAAGGACACAACAGCACAGACAACTATCCTGATCAATTTCAATTTTTATTTTTGCTGGACACTTGAATTTCTTCTCCTATCAATCTATCTATCTGTAGCACCTGGCTCCTATAGACGTCTCGCCATCACGGCACTAATCATCCCTACCCTGCTTAGCTTCAGACGTCTGAGTGGATCAAGCTTTCACATGCAGTTGTTTTTTTTCCCTTTCTTCTGTTTTCAGACAGAAAAGTTAAAAAAGTAAACCACCAGTAAACATTTATCTTATGCTGCGTGCTCCCCATTCTGTTCCGTAGCTTGTGAAGCAACACTGAAAATTCCCCGCTGTGGGACAAATCCAGATTTTTTAAATCTTAATCTCACCATCACTCAGCCAATCAGCTCTCAGTCCAAAGCATCAATAGGGCTCTGTGTTACAATTTACAACACTCTTTTTGTTGGACTGACCTGTGGTATTTACAAAGAATATGTGTAGATGTATTATGCCATGTCTGCCATAACATATGCCGTATATCATTACCCTCCACAAAATATACAGTATCAGAAACGTCTAATACAAATCAGCAGAAACACGTCCCTCATCTCGAAATGCTCCCATCAAAAACTTGTTACGAAGAGAGCCAATTTTTTGCCTTTTAAAACAAAGTAATGGCTCAGTTTGGGCACATGCTCCAGACAAATTACTTTCTTTACAACTGCTTGCCTTCAGTTGCATGTTCACAAAAACAACTGAATAAAATTGTCCACTTCGACCAAATTATTTAACATTGTAAAACTAGAAATGCCAAAACAAAGTGTGTGTACATTTTGTTTTTTGTCCCAGTGTGTTGTAAAAGCAGCTCCAGATGTTACTAAAAGTCTGCCTAAAGAACATTTATCATGTAAAGGAAAACTTAACATGAAAATATGTTAAAATGGACCAATTAAATGTATTTTTGAATCTCTTCGGCGACAAACTGGTAAAAAGCATTGATAATTTGACACTGACTGTGCTTCGTGTGCGACCGTAAAAAAAGCAGAGTGAACGTACATTATAATCTCTCTGGTGTGATGCACGTTGTCAAAGGTTCTAAGCGTTAAATGTCATGCAGCACACATGGAAGCGATTTGTTCAATTTAACGGATTTGTAAATGTTCTGTTCACAAGGACGATGCCTATTTTTTCATTGTACATGTGTTCCCAAGTACAAATGCCATAGTTGACATTTTCTGAACAAAAGTTTTAAGCTATTCTTATAAAAAATACTGTGGATATGATGTCAACAATTTCCAAGCAGATTATCTAATCAGAGCAGAATGAGGCACTCATTTGGGTTGCCAGTTTGTTGGGTGACATGTAAATGGTCTTGGCTCTCCGATCTGTCTTTATATAACAAATCAAATAACACTTCTGTTTGAATGAAAGCAGATACAAGCAAATATAAAATAGTAGTTCTAAATAATACATTGTTTGTGCTGTTTTTCCCGCAGGTGGATTCCATCGTTAAGCAGTGTTGCATCCAGGAAGATTAAGGCAACTAAAGCTGGATTGTAATTGTGCATAGACTGTGTAATTGTAATGACTGAGTTAGACAACTAAGAGCGCATAATAAATACCGTCCCTTTAATTGAGAGAAAAAATATCTTTCCTGGACAAAACTGGAATAAACTGCTAAGCAAGATATTAATCAGACGGACGTAAGATAAGATGAGAAACATTTTAAATGTTTTACTGATCTTGTTCCACCGCTGTTCTCTGGTCTGGCGTCAAGGCTCTCGAAGGCCTAACACCAGAGCCTCGGTCAATGTGGACTGTCTGGTTCCTAACACCAGAGCCTCGGTCAATGTGGACTGTCTGGTTCCTAACACCAGAGCCTCGGTCAGTGGGGACTGTCTGGTTCCTAACACCAGAGCCTCGGTCAGTGGGGACTGTCTGGTTCCTAACACCAGAGCCTCGGTCAGTGGGGACTGTCTGGTTCCTAACACCAGAGCCTCGGGCAGTGGGGATTGTCTGGTTCCTCAGTTCAGAGCCTCGGTCAGTGGGGACTGTCTGGTTCCTAAGTCCAGAGCCTCGGTCAGTGGGGACTGTCTGGTTCCTCAGTTCAGAGCCTCGGTCAGTGGGGACTGTCTGGTTCCTAAGTCCAGAGCCTCGGTCAGTGGGGACTGTCTGGTTCCTAACACCAGAGCCTCGGTCAGTGGGGACTGTCTGGTTCCTAACACCAGAGCCTCGGTCAGTGGGGACTGTCTGGTTCCTAACACCAGAGCCTCGGTCAGTGGGGACTGTCTGGTTCCTAACACCAGAGCCTCGGTCAGTGGGGACTGTCTGGTTCCTAACACCAGAGCCTCGGTCAGTGGGGACTGTCTGGTTCCTCAGTTCAGAGCCTCGGTCAGTGGGGACTGTCTGGTTCCTAACACCAGAGCCTCGGTCAGTGGGGACTGTCTGGTTCCTAACACCAGAGCCTCGGTCAGTGGGGGCTGTCTGGTTCCTAACACCAGAGCCTCGGTCAGTGGGGGCTGTCTGGTTCCTAACACCAGAGCCTCGGTCAGTGGGGACTGTCTGGTTCCTAACACCAGAGCCTCGGTCAGTGGGGACTGTCTGGTTCCTAACACCAGAGCCTCGGTCAGTGGGGACTGTCTGGTTCCTAACACCAGAGCCTCGGTCAGTGGGGACTGTCTGGTTCCTAACACCAGAGCCTCGGTCAGTGGGGACTGTCTGGTTCCTAACACCAGAGCCTCGGTCAGTGGGGGCTGTCTGGTTCCTAACACCAGAGCCTCGGTCAGTGGGGGCTGTCTGGTTCCTAACACCAGAGCCTCGCTCAGTGGGGACTGTCTGGTTCCTAACACCAGAGCCTCGGTCAGTGGGGACTGTCTGGTTCCTAACACCAGAGCCTCGGTCAGTGGGGACTGTCTGGTTCCTAACACCAGAGCCTCGGTCAGTGGGGACTGTCTGGTTCCTAACACCAGAGCCTCGGTCAGTGGGGACTGTCTGGTTCCTAACACTAGAGCCTCGGTCAGTGGGGACTGTCTGGTTCCTAACACTAGAGCCTCGGTCAGTGGGGACTGTCTGGTTCCTAAGTCCAGAACATCGTTGGGACAGTCCAGCTTTTCCCTTAATGAAGCCAAACTGTGGAACGCTCTTCCCACTGACCTAAAACTACAAACAGACTTAAACATCTCCGTCAGACATCTGAAACTGTGGCTGAAATCGGAAAAAGTTGTTAACTAACTGTATATTTAATTACTTTTATGTAAATTTGAAATGTTCTAAAGGTCCTAAAAGCCTTCTATGGACAAGTGTTGAAAATTAGCATGGTCTTGCTATAACCCTAAAGGCAGTGCATCGGGTCTGTCCAATGCAACTGTTGTGTCTAAATCAAAGACATAAATACCTTAAAATGTTATGTTAAAACAATAAATTCATATACTTTGCCTTAGAAAACAATAATAATAGAAAGTAATAATAATAACAAGTGAACAAAAAATACATTGTTCTAGCAAGCAAGTTAATTCAGCCCAATCCTTTATAAGTTGTCATACAGCCAGTGAATGTAGTATCTGTTATTAATCAAACAATAGACCAAAATAAATACATTCAAATATATCACATCTGTCTTATAAGATAATAGATAGAATAAAATTGATAATATGCACATGCCTTTCGCTGCACAACAAAATTTTCACACAGTATGATATAGTTAGCATTGGGGAAACTATCCACCCATCTCCGTTCACATTCTCTTGCCCCACAACATGTACTCTGTTTGCAGTTGGACTTTGAAAGCCACAAATTGTTCAAATGCATCGCGCGTACAAAAGCTTTTATGTTATGCCTTCATGTTATTTCTGTCAAACGTAAAGTACCCCATTTTTTACGAGCATTCAAAGCTGCACTCAACTTATTGTCGACCACAACGGTGTGACCTCTCATTCCAAAACAAAAAAAAGCCACTCTTTAGATGTTTGAAATAGCAGACAAAAATTCAGACGTGGCCATAACTTTAAAATGGCGTCGTAATTTTACCGGACCAGTCCTAGTAGGTCAAACACCAGCACAGCATTTTAAGCACGGCACTCAAATCAATTTTCCCCGAGGTTCTCTGTGGGCATTTTGAATGGTCTAGTGTTTAGGCCCCAGGGAACACTTAGTCTACTTTGGCCGACCTCTTTGTCCTTAACCCATAAATATATTGGCCGTATTGAAATGATAACTGCTTTTCCAGTCTGCGGTGGACTCGATGGAGCACACTTTTCACGCAACCCCAGTGGCGTACAAAGCATTTAACGGCGGCGGCCACGGCACAGAATATTGGTCGATTATCAATATCTATTCAGACATCACGGCAGTCAGGAAGTGACAGAAATGTTGCTGGCTGATTGGCTCCCGTGACTTTGTTGGAGTGAATCATTCTTTGTTGTCATTGCTCCACAGAACTATTGTAAGAATTTCAGCTGGTAAGACTGCTTTATGGTTTCAATTTGGAAAGAATAAACCAACAATATGGAACATGGATTGTAAAACAGGTTTACAGAGAATGTAAACCTGAAAATAACCCGCAAAATTGCTGTTTCTATCCATCCATTTTATTACAGCTGAGAGATACAGTCCCTCCGATGTGTCCTGGGTCTTCCTATAGGGGCCTTCTCCCTCCTGTGATGTGCCCAGAATACCTCTCCAAGGAGGCATCTGAAAGAGTCCCAAGCCACCTCACCTTGCTCAAGCAGCGGCTCTAGTCTGAGCTCCTTTGTGTGACTAAGCTTCAGTCTATCTCTAAGGGGGCGCCCAGCCACTCTGCAGAGGAAGCTAATGTTGCCCGTTTGTATCCGCAATCTCCTCCTTTCGGTCATTACCCAAAGCTCACGACCAAAGGTAAGGGTGAAAACAAAGATTGACTGGTAAATCGAGAGTGTTGCCTTTGGACCTCTTAACCACAACATTCTGATACAGCTCTGACTGCAGACGCTGCTCCCTCCTCACCACAATAGTCCAATACAGCGACAATATCACTGCCCACGCTGCACTTACCCATCTGTCACTATCACGCTCCATAAATCCCTCATCGGTGAACCCCGAGATACTGGAACTCCTCCATGAATCACTTCAAATGTATCCCATTGTGAACAAATATCAAAAACACAAGCGTTTCTTCTATAATTGGCGTCATCAATTTTTGTACGTAAATCTACATATTTTCTGATTCAGGGTTTTTTTTTGCACCAGTTTACATGATCAATCCCTGCACTGTCTATCCCCCACTCTCCTTTTATCTCTGGAAAACTATACAACTCCATCTTCTCCCACAAATCCCTGGTAATGGACTGTTCAGCATTCCTGAGAAACTCCCCCTAATTGTCTTTGCCTTTGTTCCTGCTTCCACATATTGACAGCTATAAATCTTACGGAAATGTCGGCTCTGGACAAATCCCAGTATCTTCTTTTTTTCCCTGTGCTGTTGTGATGATAAGCTGGAACTGTCATTGAGGAAAATCCACTCAGTACAACACACAAGATCAGAGCTGGCACCAAAGACAAATCCACCAACACTTCATTCTACATATCTCTATTTAATGATATTATATTTCATTTTGCCTGCCGAAGACAAACACCATTACCAAAAGCAGCGAGTCGTAACGAGGCATTCTGCAGCAGATTTGGGGCTTCCTTTTGCGGTACAGTAATTGAAATGTACAATCGGCACATGACAACGTTTCATTTATGCGACCTGTGAGCGTCAACGCCACATTGAAAAAAAAATAAGGATTGTGTTATTTATCAATCTCTGTTAGCAGTAACTGTATTAACCCTATGACTTCCAGAATTCCCAAACTACCAGAGCCAACATTTTGACTGCTCCCATTCAAGCCAAAGGAAAACTGAGAAATTCCCCCAAAATAATGTTTAGATTTTCACCAGATTCATTAAGAGAAAGTAATTTTTAACGTTTTTTTTTTAAAAACTGCTAAAACAATGATAACTTATGACAGTAAACGGTGTGTTGCCATGGTAACTAGCACTTGATATATTATTCTTTGGCGGAAAATGAGTTAAAGGTAGAACCCCTCCATGTACTTTTCTATCTATGATTCATCGTATTCAGGTTTTTCCAAATTTTTTCTGTGGCCATGTACATTTATATACATACCACATTATAGATCCACATATCAATACAGTTCAAAACTCAATTCTGATTATATAAGTTTAAAGCTGCTGTTTTAAAGTAAATGCAGTATGGTCTTCTGAAAGTTTGCATGAGGACTCTCTGGGATTGCTGACCAGCGATGGGATACAATCTGACTGCATAATCGAGACGACACAGGCCCGGTTTTCAGCTGCTTGGTCTGTGCCCTGTGGACACCGGAGCTTGTATTTTACTCGCCGATAAGAGGAAGAAGTCAAATGAAAAAGTCTGTGTAGGAAAAAGCGTTGACGCTGTGTTCCGTGATTGTTCACTGGTAGAATACAGATGACCACTGGGACTGGGAGATGCTCTGTTTGGTCCTCTCTCAGCCCTGGGTCACTTCACATACTTAAAACCAATGCATCAAGATTTTGTTCCTCAAACATGGCAGCGCTCCAAGTCAATTAATTTGCTCTTAAAAATGGCCAGAGCTCCTCCGGGATCGCAAAAATGAAGAGGCAATTATAGAGTTGTATGAGCACGAGTAGAAATTGTTGTTTTTTGAAGCGTTATCTGTGAAAAGTAGATGTATTTGGCTGAAAGAGAAATAAGCAAGACATGTTTTTAAGAAATTACAGTTGATGGTGAAGGACGACAAATCAAATCAATGCATAGGAAGGTCAGGCTTATTTTCTCTGCTGTGAATGAAACCAAATTTAGGTATTCTTGATTTTTTAAAAGTAGAAGTGAAATACCGCCTTAATAAAGCAGGGAAGTATAAAATGAGTCCATATAATGCTTTTCATAAACATTGTTCAAATGATTTAGTTTTTAATACGATGATTTACCCATTTAGTATTATTGAGACAGATATGGGACACATGTAGCTCCTGACTGAGGCAATCCACCTGCTGGGGTTTAGTGAGAAACAGTGGTTAGGCAACGCTGCATTATGTACGTCAGCTTATTTTTATACCTGCCGTCATTTAGATCAATGTGTGGTAATATTTATGTTTGTGAATTGTGTGTCTGTGTGAGTTTTTATTTTATGTTTTTAAGATAGAGCCAAAACCAATGTTAATGTCAGCTTTATTTGTAGAGCATAGCACATTTACAACAACACCAGCTGCCCAAAGTGCTTCACAGGCACAAAATAATAAAAAAACAGCTAAATGTCATCTAACAAACTGGCAACCCAAATGAGAAGATTATTGCATATCCAATCAATCAATCAATGGAATCATAAATATTATTGCCATTTTTCCCATTGTACTTTTAATGAAGGTCAAATATGATTTTCACACGTTGACCTGTTATTTGGGAACACATATACAATACATAGAAGTGAAGACATAGATGTAATCATAAAAGAACATTATCTACAGCCTCTTTTAATAGCCACGTAATCCAATCACATGGTAATAACGTGTTGACAGTCATGAAAAAATATCCATCTCAAATATACAGGAATATCTAATTGTGTTTCTTGTAGTTCTAAACAGCAGCATTGAGCTCTGAACTTAGGATCACAGAAAAAATGATCTTTTATCTCTGTTCATAAAACAGGAGGCACTTAGAAAAGGTGACAGATGTTCCACTCTTTCCGACTCTGGGAGAGAAATAAATAAGCGCAAAGTGCAACAAATGAGTTGCATCCGCCCCACGTCGCCAGCATCTGTGCAGCAGCCTGCCACTTGGCTCAAATCTCTTTTTAATAGAAAATAAACTACATTTGTTCTGAGCTAAGAGGATGGTATAGCACTGATTTCTGTTTTTAAAGGTGGATTATGGGACTTTGCATGTTTGCCACCCCGGGAGACGCCATTGCTCTGACAGTCCTGTTCTGGGAGTGAGGGAAGTCCAGAAGCCTGGAGAAAACCACCAAGACATAGGAAGACACATGCTAAATATTTGTTATTGATGTATGGACATTCAAGATTAAACTACATTACAAATATATATATATATCTCCAATAAAACATTGTTTTTCTTCAGAAAAAAGCTTAGTTTTCCCTGACAGTTATATTTTATTCTATCAGTATTGAAATATTTGGCATGAACATGGCCAACATATTATAAAATCCATGTTTTTCTTCTTCCCATGCCCCTCTGATAAATATATCAGCAAATGGTGAATCTTTTAAATATTTCTTATTACTTATATGTTGGTATGTGTACTAAATTTACGGTGGACAAAAAAATAGTATGAATGTAACTATTTCTGCTCAAACTAATGAATGAAATAGCGTTCGGCCCTGACCTTCTTCCTGTGCGAGTTGACTGATAAGGTGCTTTTTTAAAATCAACTTTGACCAATATAGAGAATTTGGTATTCCACGGTTGCCATTGGTTATAAGACGAAATAATCATTTGCCGACTTTAAACTTTAAACTGCACCCCGTCAGTCCTGCACTGCACAGTCTAGGTCCTTGTTCTACAGCCTGGGTCCAGGACCTGACACCTGCTCGTCCATGGGAGCGGATCTCCCTCTCATCGTGGGCCTTGCAGAGGTTTCTCACATTTTTCTGTTGAGTTTTGGAGTTGTTAGAAAGTGATGATCCGAGATATTTATTAACATTTATGGACAGTGGTCATCCTGCCTCCTATGGACCAATGGCTCTTATGTGCTTGTTATTTTAACTGATCTGTGTTGACGAATGGACAACTTTGTAAAGTCCCCCTGAGATAACCACTGTTGTGATTTAGGGCTATGCAAAAACACATGTAATTGAATTGAATTGAACTTATACCTCCACAGAGTCAGACCAGAGCATAAAGCACATATCGTATGCAGCATTATGGTTTGCTACAACCGCAACCATAACTTAAAAGATATAAACGAGGAAGTAATCTCCGCACACCCAACTCTACATCACACACTTTCCTTTTCAAGCTGACAAATGGCATAGCATGACCTTTACAAAAGAAGCACTCTTTATCTCGTCTTACTGCTCCCTCATCTCCGAGTGCCACGGTTGCAGTTCATTGTACACACTCACTGAGATTTGACTAAACACAGCTCCCGGGCCTCGTGTAATGTAATCAGGAGAGGCGTACTCTTGTCGCACACACGCTAACCCAATATTTTATACGACCGGATCTAGCTCGGGCGTCTTCTCATCAAACCCCTGCGATGAAATATGAAAAATGTTTATGGGTAGGCGGTATTTGCTGGAATAATACTGCCACGCTAGGTAAATAATCACGCTGGCTCGGAGAGTGACAAACCAGGGCAGTGCTGTAAATAAGATGATATAGCACAAAGAGACAATATTATTATACCTACAGGAGTTCCGCTGCTCTTACGAGTGAATATACGCGTGATGGAGCAATGAATGGGAGATTTAAAGCAAGGATTCAGATTTTCAACCCGTGGATGGTGGGGGTCGATATCACACAGGTCCTGCCATATTCACAAGTGTTGAAATGTGGGGGAAAACGAGATATGCCTGAACGTATGGAATAAGGGGATAATCCGACAGGGAACCCCATTTCACTGTATATACCCAGTTACCAAAAAATATTATGATATACAAGAAGAGAGTTAGAAAAGAGTAAATGTTGAGTTGGCCCCCCATATGATCCATAATACAAAATGCTTTTACATTTTGTCCCAACCAATTTTCCTCTGATACAAGCATTTTTGATGATCCATGTGTGGCATATTTGCTTTCATTTCGGCCCTTGGACATGGAGTTGAAAATATTTGCTTTTGTTTGTTGTGTTTTAAAGTGTGGAATATTGATCTGGATAAAACATTTAGTGAATAAATTAGGGATTTTGATTTAGAAAAGACCTGCTAGAGGTGGAAAATGTTATTCTGCCAGGTTTGTCAATACAATATGGCAAGGTGTAAGTGAAGGTTTGCAGTTTCCAAAAAAACAAGACTAAAAGGAGAGAGCAATTTTCTCTCTCTCCGGCCTTGTCACAGTGAAACAAGTCTGATATAGAAGCATTGAGACAAACGGGCCACTTTCATGCCAGACATTCCTCTTATTAGTGTGGATAGAGCTAAAAAACAACGTCCAGGTCTGCTTTTGATCAGATAACTTAGGAATCTGAATACGACAATTCTGTGTAACATTTGTCCTTTGAGCACTAGGGCTTCAGACTGCACCCAGAATGGCCCAGCAATAAAATTATCAACCATATACTATTGGTGGACTTCCACTAATAACATACAGTACTTCTCACAAGACAATACATCTAATAAAATATATATGAATACGCTTGAAAATATATAATCTGATTATAAAAATTTGCTGAAGGTCTAGTGCAACAGACAATAATGTTAGTCTGGAATTGTAAAACCGTACAATTTTGTTAGAGCTGATTGACATCCATAATGGTAAACTTTTTCAAATTCAGAAAAAAAAAATCTCCTTAGGTTCCATTCTCCAAAGTATCAAGGACATTGTATTCTCAGCTTGTACATATAGTATTTACACTCATATATCCACTGCAATGCCTTGACCTTCAAACTACCATCATAAAAAGAATCCAAGTTAACCTTAACAAACC